GCTGTACCACGGACTTTGGCATTGGAATGATGGTGATGTTTATTTCAGATTTTCGGGCGCGTCGACATCGAAGGCCATATTGCGCCCGAAGGTGGGGAAGCTTAACATATAGTGTTCTTGGGACGCCCATTGTGGGGGACAAATCCAACAGAGGCCTCCGTCTTCTCCTAACGTCGCTTATTGGATGCCAGTGAGCATCACTAGCTATGGTTTAGCATCAAGCCTTGTGTTCATACCACATGCTTGATAAATTCAACTTCGCCGGCATTTTATCGCAGGTTTGTGCTTGTTGCATCTCCTGCATGGATATCTCCGGTGAAATATAAATAAAAACATATCAGTGGTGCCTAACACTGTAGCGCTGAGCGTACATACAACATGTAACCGAAATCAAGACGAAGCATTTGCCGTTCATTTACCCCGAGCCTTCGTCGTCATTTTGCGGTCTGATGTTATCCGTACAGCGCCAACCTGACATGTACCAGACCCCGGTGACTTGCATCTGGTGTCACCGCCGCCACTTAGTTCAGCTCTTGAACTATCGACTCTAGAATGACTCAATCACCGAGCTCTTCGTTTCAGAGAGAGAGAGAGAAATAGAGAGACGGAGAGGGAAGAATTTAAAAAGCGCACACACAGAGCTGCGAAAGCCGCGTCTTTGCCCTGAGCTGACGCCAGTGACAGCCCTCGGCGCCAATGTCACACAAAACAAATGGACGCGACTCTCAGCACAGCAGGCACTCTTGCACCGCTGAGATCGAAGTGGCCTTCTTTAACAGACCTGCTATGCTGAGAAGTCCGCATTGATAAATAAACAGGGGCGACGTCACCGACGTATCCCATGCGGCTGCATGTGCCGGTCCGAAGTTTGATTTCGGTCGACTGGGAAGCCATGCGAAAAGCGTTGGTGACCAACGCACGAAGGACTGCTTTGCGTTATCAATGTGTGAGGGGCCAAGAAACAGCCAGATAACTGGGTGGGTCAAACATACTATCTAAGTCCATTTTTCAATGCATCACAAACAGGTAAAATGTTCAACTTTGCGATAAGTGGGGAGGCAATGATTCTTCCCCTACGCCTGCTCGTAAGCCTGATCCCCGTCCTCACGCCTGCATAGGCAGGTGAAATTCCAGATTAATTTTGAAACATTCTGGCATGCTTCGTGACTTGTTTTCACAGACTTCCTGCGCTTCAGCCCACTCGTCGACTAGTCAGACTTACAGTACCTGGATCCAGGCAGAGGTTGATCAAGTCTAGTGCAAACTGGAAGCGCGCTCCGCTTCTGAAGTCCCCTGCTATACCACGATCATCCGGTTCGGTGCCGAAAGAAAACACCGCTCACCAGAAGCCGAAGTCTTCTATTCATTGCTTCGCGTTATGAAATTGCTCTTACACATGAGAACCCACACAGAAAGACGCGGAAGGTTACTGCGGTCGTTCACAACCATCATGTCTGACATGTTGGTGCGCTGACCCCAAACGGCGGGCCACCCGGAAGCAAAGAACGAAATAATTACATTTCGCCCAGCCTTTAGATTTATAAGTTTGCAAGCGCTTTACGGCTTAGCGTTCATGACAAGGGTCCGCACTCTTTCAACTTTTAATCGCCGACTTATTTAGTAGTTATTGGAAAACATGACTCAGCTTTCAGACCATGCAGAAGATGTGAGGTTTTGGGTCGAAATACCGTTACAGTCGAAGATAAATGTTATATGCATTCAATTAGAGCTTTGCGTAGGAAGATCAGCTACGAATGGCGGAGCCCAAACGCGGTCATTGCAACACAGACACGCTATGTTTCATTACGAATGATAGTGTGTAACACCTCCGCTATCAAACGATTTAGAACACTACAACGCCTCCGCTATCAAACGATGTAGAACACTACAACGTCTCCGCTATCAAACGATACAGAACACTACAACGACGTGTTGTGGGGGGTTGGACAAGTGCGGTGATAACAGACGTGGAGCTTCTAGTTGCCACTATGTAAATAATGCCAGAAACTGAGCAAATGGAGCCAGACAATTGCTAGCCGCCAATCCCAATGGGTTTCATCAATGATGCTGGAAGACTTGCCAGTCATGATTTCAGCGAGTGGAGGTTCCCTGAAGCGACACTAGACCGCAGCATTTGCTGGTCCACAGACAGCAGTGCTGGGAAGCTGCTGGGCCCTGACGGTGGCATGGGTCTGGCCAGGACCGGTAACTTCACCAGACCAGGTGGCCAGGACCGGTAACTTCACCAGACCAGGTGGCCAGGACCGGTAACTTCACCAGACCAGGTGGCCAGGACCGGTAACTTCACCAGACCAGGTGGCCAGGACCGGTAACTTCACCAGACCAGGTGGCCAGGACCGGTAACTTCACCAGACCAGGTGGCCAGGACTGGTAACTTCACCAGACCAGGTGGCCAGGACCGGTAACTTCACCAGACCAGGTGGCCAGGACCGGTAACTTCACCAGACCAGGTGGCCAGGACCGGTAACTTCACCAGACCAGGTGGCCAGGACCGGTAACTTCACCAGACCAGGTGGCCAGGACTGGTAACTTCACCAGACCAGGTGGCCAGGACTGGTAACTTCACCAGACCAGGTGGCCAGGACCGGTAACTTCACCAGACCAGGTGGCCAGGACCGGTAACTTCACCAGACCAGGTGGCCAGGACTGGTAACTTCACCAGACCAGGTGGCCAGGACTGGTAACTTCACCAGACCAGGTGGCCAGGACTGGTAACTTCACCAGACCAGGTGGCCAGGACTGGTAACTTCACCAGACCAGGTGGCCAGGACTGGTAACTTCACCAGACCAGGTGGCCCAGGACCGGTAACTTCACCAGACTAGGTGGCCAGGACTGGTAACTTCACCAGACCAGGTGGCGAGGACCGGTAACTTCACCAGACCAGGTGGCCAGGACTGGTAACTTCACCAGACCAGGTGGCCAGGACTGGTAACTTCACCAGACCAGGTGGCCAGGACTGGTAACTTCACCAGACCAGGTGGCCAGGACCGGTAACTTCACCAGACTAGGTGGCCAGGACTGGTAACTTCACCAGACCAGGTGGCGAGGACCGGTAACGCCGCCAGACCAGGTCGATGACCTCGCAGGAAGCCGAGGACGAAATAATTACATTTCACCCGACGTTCGGTCTGCGGGAGACTTGAGGTTTATGACCGGTCACGGTGCTCCGAGGCTCGATTTAGCACCGGTCACGGGGCCCTGAGGCCCGGTTGAGAGCATCGGTCAAAGAGCCCTGGGGCCCGATTAAGCACTGGTCAAAATGCCCCAGGGCTTGGTCAAGTACCGGTCAAAATAGCCCACGATCCAGTAAAGCACCGGTTAAACTGCTCCGAGACCGTTTTAGCACAGGTCACAATGCCCCGAGGCCCGGTTTAGCACCGATCATGATGCCCCGAAGCCCGGTTCAGCATCGGTTAAAATTCCCAAGACCCGGTTTAGCACCTGTCATAATGCTCCGAAGCCTCGTGATACTTTGTGGCTGTCTACCAGTGTATTGCTTCTGCAGTAGTACCCGAAGCAGTGGAAAACGCGATGTTTTGGATGGATACTGGTCACAGTTAGTAGGATAACACACCTGTGTGCTTTGCATGACCCAGTCTCTTGGTTTAGGTCACAAAGCCTCGTCCTCGAAATGGCCTTGGGAAAAGAAGACGCTGGCCATTTTAAGACCGATTGCTGAAAACCCACGATTCGGAACGTTGGAGATCTGTAGAGGGTTATTGCCAGTAAGTTCCCCACAACGTGCAGTTGGTTTTAAGTCTTCTGTTTCGACTGCTGACATATTGTGGTAGACGCCACGAAGATGCCGTAAAGCGGTTGGATTTCTGTTGTTAGTCTGCTAGTCTTGTGTTACTGCGCCATCTGGTCACCGACGATGGGACCCGGCTGAGTATCGTGTTTTTCACCTCTTCGCAGCATTTGGCATTTTTTAAAGTTATAGAACAGGGATGTGTCATTGCGACAATACCACAATGCTGCACGAAAAGCTCGCATGCTGTGACATGTCTCATCAAATTTGCCAGTGCTAGCAAATAACACGGAATATTCTTCAGCTAATTTATCCTCTTGCTGCGGCGAACTGTGCACAGATACGATCTGTGACCGCAAAGATAATAGCGTCTAGATTGCGTTATGGCCGGCCGGGCAGCTCAATTCGTAAATTCGTTCATTCAGGAAAAACTGGCTTGGCCTGCAGCCTCAATCGCAATGCACGCGAAATCAGTAACGCACTAGTGGCAAAGACTTGCGACTTAAACACGGTACAATATTTTCAGACATCCTAATTCAAGTCACATCTTTAAGATTTTGAAATAGGCTGTTGCCTGGAATTAACAAACGCACGTGAAATAAACTGATGCCTGGAATTAACAAACGCACGGCTTTCGGGTGATGCGCTCTATGCGCTCCAACCGCAAGTAACGACCCGCGCGGCGGGCCCTGTCACGCGCGCTCAGTAACCGATAACCCATCAGCTGGTCTTTGGACGCCGGTGCAAGCACCGCTCGTTCGGCAGTGTTGGCAACAGACGGAGGGGGCAGTCCATAACAACACCCGCAGCGCCGGGGCTCTGGACCGCAGCAGAGTAGCCGACAGGCAGGCTCAGACTCTGCGTGTTGAGGAGCCAGAGCAGCCGGCAGGCAGGCTGAGACTCCGCGTGTCAAGGAGCCAGAGTAGCCGACGGGCAGGCTGAGACTCCGCGCGTCGAGGAGCCAGAGCAGCCGACAGGCAGGCTGAGACTCCGCATGCCGAGGAGCCAGAGCAGCTGACAGGCAGGCTGAGACTCCGCGTGTCAAGGAGCCAGAGCAGCTGACAGGCAGGCTCAGCCTCCGCGTGTCGAGGAGCCAGGGACGCGCCGCCTTAGCCTGCCTCTGCGGGTCGGACGACTTCCGCCTGCCGCGGTCCGGGCGCTGACCGACTGACCGGCAGACGCGACTGACCCGGCGCTCCGACCGGCGGCCGGCCAGGCGGCGCTTCTCACCTCGCTCCTTGAGACGGGCGCCGGTCTCCAGCGGGATGACGAGCAGAGGCAGCACGCCGCTGAAGCCCACCAGCGCGGCGCCGGCCACCGAGAGTACCCAGGGCTCGTGACGCGCGTACAGTGCCGCCAGCGTGTCCAGCATGTCGGCCGGCGGCGCGGCCGTCTCGTCGGCGCGCGGGAACGGCCGCTGGTACTTGGCGCGATGCAGTTCGGCCACCGCGGTGCCCACGTGCAGCAGCAGCAGTAGTAGCGGCGACCGCCGCCCGGTGTCCGCCATGCTCGTCGAGGGCCCACTGGCCGCCGGCGGCGGCCGGGGCCGACTATATCAGCGCGATAGGCAGGCCGCCACGCCGCCACGCCGCCCGCCTGACGCGGGGCTTTGTTCGGCGCACGGTCAGCGCCCCGCCGCACTGTCCGTCCCACCCGCACGCGCTCGCCCGCCGCACTAGCGGTTCATCCGACGGCACAACCAGGCCAGGCGGCACCACGCCGGCGCGACGTCACACCGACTCCGGCCACGGCCCGGCCCGCCCGCCTCCAGCGGCGGCGGCGGCGGCGCACGGACGATTCCAGCAGCGAGCTGCAGGATTCGCGGCCCGGTCGACCGGCGGGCCAGCGGGTCGGCGCTAGAGCGGCAGAGTTGTCAGCGCCGAGGACCGGGCGACGGCGGCTGTTAACGGGTCATCTTCAGGCGCGCACCCAGGATTTTCGTAAGAGGAGGCTCGAATCTTGAAAGGGGTGCCATGGGCTGTAGGGGGCCCTAAAACTCTTCCGCGAGAAAGCACACTTCCTTGGAAGCTGAATAGATGCGTTCACAATTCACGGTTACACGTTGCAAAATGCAGTCTACGGTTCTATCTTCACCGCGTAATGAGGCAGGTAAGCAACAAAAAGAAAGATTTAGAATTGTAACGGGAGGGAAAGTTCGGCCGTTGAAAAAAGTCGCGTCTAGTTAAGTCGGACATTACATTTCTCACTTGGGTCAAGTGGCACATATAGGCTCAGTTCTCACGTGCAGGCACGAAACTGATGACACTCACTTGCCTGTAGATGTTGACGTGAAGGGTCTGTACAGTTGTGCAGCGATGAGCAACGGTAGGGTTGCCAGGAAATTGAAAACAAGTCGGTTTGCAATATGTGTCACGTTACAACATCCGAAAGTCAACCAAAGAACGACTTCCGCTCAAAATGTCGTGGAACTTAACAACGTCCTGCTTCCAAGAACTGAATAACTTAAGGCCTAAGAAACGTGTTGCTTTCATGCTTTACATTAGATATAAAGATGCCTTCAAAATCAAAAGCTAGCCATCACCCAACAAACCGACGGTCCATGAGCATTTTCCGATCTTGACGAGCTTATTTTTCGTCTCAAACCCTTGCATGTAATTGCCCGAAGCGATAAGAACAAGCGCTCTGGTGACAAAACGACAGGGCGGCCGCTGCGGATGCGGGAGTAGTGATGTGTGACGTGTAGCGACCGTTGTAGATGCGGGAGTAGTGATGAGTGACTTGTAGTGGCCGTTGTGCATGTCGGAGCGGTGATGAGTGACGCGTAGTGACCAGTGTGGATGCGGGAGTGGTGATGAGTGACGTGTAGTGATCGCTGTAGGTGCCGGAGTGGTGATGAGTGACGTGTAGTGACCGCTGTGGATGCCGAGTGGTAATGAGTGACGTGTAGTGACCGCTGTGGATGCCGAGTGGTGATGAGTGACGTGTAACGACCGCTGTGGATGCGGGAGTGGTGATGAGTAACGTGTGGCGACCGCTGTGGATGCGGGAGCGGTGATGAGTGACGTGTAACGACCGCTGTGGATGCGGGAGTGGTGATGAGTGACGTGTAACGACCGCTGTGGATGCGGGAGTGGTGATGAGTGACGTGTGGCGACCGGTGTGGATGCGGGAGTGGTGATGAGTGACGTGTGGCGACCGGTGTGGATGCGGGAGTGGTGATGAGTGACGTGTGGCGACCGCTGTGGATGCGGGAGTGGTGATGAGTGACGTGTGGCGACCGCTGTGGATGCGGGAGTGGTGATGAGTGACGTGTGGCGACCGGTGTGGGTGCGGGAGTGGTGATGAGTGACGTGTAGTGACCGGCGTGAGTGTCGTAGGGGTGTTTGTGTCAACCCGGCCGATCCTTACGCACCGACAACACAGCAGTTCTTTCAGAGCTGCCCTAACCTGAGAGACAAGCTCAAATACTCCATTACACATGATAGATGATCTGCTACACACCGACACGAAATGTTTGGCTCTAACATTGCTAGCACTGAGGTGCTGTGAATACACAATGGAAACTCTCCAACGCAGGGCAGGACACGTTTCGTGATCACGTGCCGGCTCATCGACCCTCCGCAGCTACCGCTCCGTCACCGGCTATCTCTTGCCTACCGTTTCGGTCATCTCCACACCGAGTGTGGACACCGCTCCGCGCGACGGCCAGATCCGATGACATTAGGGCGGCCCGTCATCGCGTCGGATTCGCCGCGAACGGTCGGTGTGACGCAGCCGGGATGCCCGATCAGCGCGCATACGGGGGCCGGACGGTCGCGTGCATGCCATTCCTGCGGCGGCGGTGGGGCGGGCGGCGCCGAAATAAGACGGGCCGCTGTCACAACAGCCGGGGAGAGGGTGGCCAGAGCTGAGCGGTGGAGCAGGGAGGACGCACGGATCGAGGCCACAGGTGAGGCGACACCGGGGCCAGAACAGGACCTGGACCGCGCTGCAGGCGACACCGTGGTCCAGACAGGACCAGGACCACAGGTGAGACACCGGGGCCAGAGCAGGACCTGGACCGCAGGTGAGGCGACACCGGGGCCAGGGCAGGACCTGAACCGCAGGTGAGACACCGGGGCCAGAACAGGACCTGAACCGCGCTGCAGGCGACATCGGGGTCCGGACAGGACCTGAACCAGAGGTGAGACGATGACGATGCCGAGTCAGTGGAGGAGGAGCTGAAGTGTGGAAGGCGCACGAAACGGCTTGTCAGATGATTGGACTTGGACATAGAGCCCAGGGAAAGCACCGTGACCGGCTCAAGTGACGGCAACGCCAGGAGAGTGTGGTGACCGTTGTCGGTGCGTGTGTGGTGATGGGTGACGAGTGATGACCAGTGTGAGTGTCTGAGCGGTGATGGGTGACTCGTGTGACGTGTGGTGCCTGAGCGTGCGGGGCTAGGGCGAGATGTCGTTACGGATGTCGGCGATGGTGTATGCTGAGGGTGCGGAATTAGTGACGATCACGGACCACCACAGGAGGCGGTAAAACTTCACATATGACCCCCCCCCCCCCCCCTCCAATGGAGTGATATTTTGCCCACGGTGCAAGGTGGCAGGAGAGGCATTATCATGGCCTGGTCTCGGTGACAAGATGCTGGGAAAATATGGCATCCATATCGTCAACACACATAACCAAGGGCCTAGACAAGGAGGGAGAGAGCGGTACTGATCCATCCCTTGAGGAGCTGGTACCCTGGCAGAGTGACTTGGGTGCGCCGGAAGCTCGACCATATTGGTACGTTGGTATATCTTGAGAAAATAACATGCAGCAATGACGGTTGAGCTTTTACGAAATTTCCGGCAGTGTCTAGGGCCCTTGAGGTTAATACCGACAGAAAGGGCGGCTTCGGGAAGCTCTGAGCCGGCCGTGTGGCCCCCTCAGGCTACAGGGCCCCTCTGATAGCCCCCACCCCCTCCCCCTCCGCTTCCTTCCCTGACGAAGTCCGCGCGATACGCCGAGAGGTAACTCGATGCCAGCGCGATATGAACCGACCAATAAGGCACTGGTATCAATGCAGGATGACGTGGGGTATGAACACCGGACACTTGAAAAGCTCGAATGTGAGAACTGCTCCGGAGGTTCGTGGCTTTATTGGCTGCCATGCCAGACGTGGTGTCCTCTTGATCCTCCTGACTTCCACAGCGTGTTTTCAGAATACTGTGCGTAGTAGACCTATCCAACTGATGGCTGTAGTATTACATGTAAATGCTGTGTCATGTGAAATGCTCAGGAACACTCGTCTTGTAAATATGCTCTCATGACATGGCAGTTCTTTACCATCAGTTAAGTAGTTGAGGCTCGAACGAATGAAGTGCTGAGCACTCAATGTTACAGAGATTTTGTCATGCCATCAAACACGCAATTACTGCGAAGATGGCACCGCACTCATTCCAGTCCCAAAGATGGCATGCGTAATGGAATGTCAGGGCATACGCTCGGAACAGGCGCCTTGCGCATGTTTCTGTCACGTCTCCCTGTGACTTATTGGTGCCCCACGCGGCAGCGTTGGTGCGCTGCGCCATTGGTGTTCCACGCGGCAGCGTTGGTGCGCTGCGCCATTGGTGCTCCACGCGGCAGCGTTGGTGCGCTGCACCATTGGTGTCCCACGCGGCAGTGTTGGTGCGCTGCGCCATTGGTGCCCCACGCAACAGCGTTGTTGCGTTGCGGCTTATTAGGAGATGTTGCATGCGGTTCTACTGGTGGCACTCCGCATGGGCCTTTGGCGACGGATATTGCGTGTGCCCGTCACTGCGTGGGGAGCTATGGCCGAGTGGTTGACGCCGTCGGCGCTCACATAGGGGGGGGGGGGGGGGTGGTCTTGAATTTCGGTTGCGGCATTGCTTTTGAACGTTGAATAGAGCGCATGTGTTTCTTTCCTGAGCTGTAGTACAGTCTTGCTTTTATTTTAAATGCAAGCAAGTCAGAGCGCTCTTAGAGCACTCTTATAATTGTTCACGAAATACACCATCTGTACGCTAATGTTGATACTTGTCGAAGGAAATGGAAACTTAATTATGGCTTTTATTCAATACTGCAGCATGAGCCACCTAGCATATCATCACTTAGAAAGCAAAATACGAAGCTAATCTGTATGCCAAGCAGTCTACTGGCGTAGGAGCATGCATTAGGGACATGATGGCAAAAACTCTTATGTTTACACGTTAGATGCGATAGATGAGCTATCTGTGCTGACGTCCTAGAGATAGATACACTGCGTCAGCTGGCTCTGCCGAAATCACGCAGTGGCTTCATCAGCACGCCGTGGCTTCATCTCCATCTTGGAACGTCATGTCGTGCGGACCGAGTCCTTTCCGGAAAAAATACTTCTGCTGACGTTGGACCTCCTCCGCCATGATCTCCCTGTTGCCGGAACAGCCTCAGTCTTTTATAGAAATCGTACTAGTCTCATGGATATGTAGAGCACGGTCGCTGGTGCTCCGCAAAGAGCGCGAGGCAGCACGCTCTGTCTTTCAGTAACAAGGTGTCCAGCGCTGCGCCCCCGTTGGGCCAGCAGTGTGGGGTGCTGAACGCGTCGCGCGGCGTAGTGTGTGCCAGGGGCGTCCGCTGAATAACTTCGGCGGCTGGGCAGCGAAAATATGGCTAAGGCTACACCCAAAACATAACATGGATGGATTAATTTAGGATTTGACCTACTTTCCTATTACAGTTGGGGACGGGGCGGGAGTTTCTCGTGGTGAGCCGATAACTTTACAACTGCCGTGTGCCCTGCAGCAGTATGCCGCAGTGGATGGGGGAGGGCGACGTCTCGCCGACACCCACGCCGACGCCGACGCCGACGCCGACACCCACGCCGACGCCGACGCCGGCCGAGACGGCCCGGCAGCAGCGACTCTCGGCCATGCTGGACACACTGCCGCCCGAGCTGGAGCGCAAGCTGTCCGTCCACCACGGCATCAAGCTGAGGCGCTTCGACACGGTCAGTGTCCGGCGGAGTGTGGATGCTGGTGGGGGCGAGGGAGGGAGGGAGGAGAAAGGCGAGGGAGCGGAGGCGGAGCGAAAGAGAGAGGCGGGAAGATAGGGCGTGATGATGGTTAGGAGAAACAAAAGCTTCCCTGTTTGTACGGGCAGCTCAAATTTGAATCAAGCTGGCACGTGGCCTCGATTCGCATCATCGGGCCCCTGTAAACACCCGCGCGCCATCCAGCAAATCTGAATCACGCGCCGGCTGAAATTCTTTTTTGGGAAAGGACTGTCTGTTCGGAAAGGGATGCCGAGAACAATAGTGACGAGCGGGTCAAGGGGAATAGTGACCGCCACAAAGCCATTTCTTGGGCAGTGAAACCACCAAAAATTATACCGGTTTTAGCAACTTGACAGAGAACACCAGGAAAACACGTGCATGATTTGAACTTAAAGCACCGTGGATTCTAACAGCTCGATTCCAGTTTACTTATGCCTATCTTAAAGCCCTTGCGGCTGGTATCTGTGCGGCGTTTGCACGGAAAAAGTACAGTATTGTCGCCTGCTGTGGCCCTGCCTCTTGACCTATCGTCGAGTATCTGATAGCCGTCACTGATACCAATCTAACGAACGTGATGCCCGTTGCCAAGCAAGGCCACTGCTAGACCCGGTGGCAGCGCTGGGGGATCGGCCGTGGCCCCGCGTCAATTGTTGCTATGCTCGTGTTGTTCCCCTTCAAACCTTTGCTCGGTGTTCGTTCGTTGAGCATCGAAACTATTTTTAATGTGAAATTTGCAGTATACATGCATATATATATATATATATATATATATATATATATATATATATATATATACCTGTCTATAATGCCCCTAATGCTTCCCTGCGAAAGAACCGTCTATGCCCAGACAGACACATACGCATGCAAACCCGAAAAAGAAAGGTACAGCGATATTCACTTTGCACTGCCCACATGCTGTCGCGCCTGTTTAGCTGCGTGCCTGGCAGCAGTTCACTCAGCCCTAGCATGATAAAGCCATTTGAGGCGCAGATGTATGTGCGTCGTCATCCGCTTCTGTGCGATCCACTTGTTCAGTGCCTGACCTGAGCCCCTTCTGACCCCCTCCCCTCCCCTCTTGGCCGCACTCCTGGCCATTACCAGGGATCTGTCTGGGTGGCCCCGTTTCATGGTCCCATTACAGTTCATGGGCTGCCTCAGGGGGCCGACGTTGTTTCCCGACGCAAAAATACTCGGTAACAAAGCACGGACCTCTAAGGCTCGTAAGGCCTCTCGCGACTCTCCCCCTTCATATTAGGTTCAAGGCCTGGTTTAAAGACACAGTGGGCACGGTTTTTACGCGACATTATTGTATGTCATTCCGAAATGTGGCGATCAGTAGAACTAATTTGGTGGGAAACATCTGGCACTACCATGGGAACGAAGAGTCCAACAGCAGTTATTAAAGGGAATGTTTCACATTTGAAGATATTGAAGTAAGCATGAGATAAGATGAAACAAGCTCACTTACAACTGTTGGTATGTCTTTAAGTAGAAAAGAGTGCTCTTTACAGCGCAATTTCTCTGTTTAGTAGATATGCTCCTAAATACGTCATTGTTTCATTACGGCACCATACCTTGCACAACATTCATTAAGAGCCAATTGACGGTCATCATATCTGAAAATTGTGCTGACGAACGTCAGACATGAATGACTTGACCATTATATTTTTATTGGCCTTGGTCACCGCATGGCTTATCAAACGGCACGATTTGAATGACGTTATTATGACGTCATGAATCCCAAGGTCAGCTTCAGATACCCTCCTAAATTTCTTTCTCACATCTTTGTGGTCTTCAAGCTCACGAACCAGAGGGTTTTAGGTCTTAAAAGGGGCATGGCCGTGGACTGCATCAAATGTACGGTACGCAGCTGAACGGATTGTTTACGGCACCAGAGCAAATCATCATCGCTAGCTCATTGATGCATTCGGTACCAATGAAAAAAGAAAAAAATGCCCCCCTGCCCTCCGTCGCAAATCGTGGTAGCTCGCTCCCGTCGCGAATTATGGGTGCACCTCTGAGACCCCCCCCCCCTTCGCCAGTGCAGCATGGATAGTTCTTCCACCTGTGTGGAAGTCAGGTCGCAGGCGTGGTTTCTTATTGGGCACGAGACTGGCCTTAACAAGATCATCGTGAAAATGGTCAGAACAGATCACCGCATTCTCCACATTTATAGCGTCAGACCTAGAGCAACGGCACGCTCATGTTCTCAGAACAGGTGAATCGTTTTTTGGAAACGTGAAAAACAAGATGCATTTTGTGCCGTTTAAAGTTCTTGCACGAAGCCGCTGCACAGGATGACATCTTGATGTCAAAAAGCGGCCTCCGATGCTGACTCGGGCTCAACGCTCACACACTACTTCGAATTTCTTCCATCCGCGGCGTATTGTGAACGCACCGAGTCCATATAACAGTACAAATTTGATGCTACAAGACAAGACCAAGCACGATATTTCTGCTTGGCTACTGCCTCTCTAGCGACGCAGTCCACGTTGCCATGTAATGCCGCCGCGTGGGTCCGTACGGCTTTGTGACGTCATAGTCTAACGCTAGCGGCCCGCCCGCCCGACCAATTTCTCACGCAGTGGCGATGGTCCCGTGGGTTTCCTTCAGTTGGTCTTAGTCTTGCTGCACGTCGTTGTGCGTGTGAGGATTGCTGATCTTTTGTTGCCAAAGGGGATGTTCACATTTGAATATATAGAAGCAAACATCGGATCATCGGTTATGATGAAACATGACTATTGGTCTACTTCAAGTTCAAGAGAAAGAGACTGCTCTAGACTACACGATTTCTCTGTCTAGCGAATAAGCCCCTCGATACGTCATTGTTTGATTACGTCATCGTACCTTGAACCACATTGATTGAGAGCCAGTTTAAATGACTCACGGCCGGTATATCTGGAAGTCATAAGGTCAAGATCGCTAGATATAAGCGACTCGACAATTGAATTTCTCGGCCCTGATCACCGCACGGCTTATGGAATGGCAGGATTTGATGGACGTCATTATGACGTCATGAATGGCAAGGTGATATTGAAATATTCTCCCCGAAACACTTCCCCTTTTTCGCGGGCGTATAGCTCAGAAAGAGGAGGGCTTTAGGTCTTAAGAAGGGCAGGGACGTGAACTGCACTTAAAGGTTTTCAATATGGACTTTTTAGTTCAAACCGCATATGAATATGGAACATTCACTTTAAGATATAAATCATCATCGTGACACTTTAACATTATAGGGATAATAAAAAACAGGAGAATAGCTTCCTGTTTTGTTTAAAGGGGTAACTGCTCCGGACACAGCTGCTATTTCTCTTGTCGTGTCATGTGTTATCGTGAATCACCAGGGCGAGTGGAAAGGCGGCACGCGTTTGTGTGTTTTGACCTGCATCCATTACGCGTGATGTGTTGCCAGTCGTTTTCTGTACTTCTTCGAGGAGGTAATAACTTTTCCAAACCGTCTCGTGGGAATACATGACAAGGAATTACGGTAACTCGACCTGTAACCCGCCGAACAAAGTTCAACAAACATCGATCGAGCATAACCAGAGAAAGCTCATTACAGCTTGATATGCCCTGTTCTTCAAGGATGTTCATATATATATATATATATATATATATATATATATATATATATATATATATATATATAGGTATGCGTGCTATGGACGAGCTAGTGCATGCTATACTGGAGCAATAAACATGTATTGATTGGTAAAACAACATGCATGATTCAAAGCGCATGGTACGAATGGCACAAGTCACTGCACCGTTTAGTCACATGGAACAGGGAAACGTTATAAACCAGTGTTATCTGAATACGCCATATCGGTGTATCACAAGCATCAGGCCACTCCGAACACCGGTTATTTTAAATGGAGTGCCCCATCTTTGGGGCATATTTCAAAAACATGTTCTAGGGAAACCTCAGGACAAGTTAATCTAAAAATAGCACAATAGGAATATAATAGCACTGGGTAGTGCCCCTGCAGCACCGTCAATATATAATAAGGATATCAACGCTGACAGTTTTCTAGTCCAAATTACGTTGTCAGCGCTTTTTAACAGCACTTTCCTTCTTCCCTGTAGTCGCGACCTCCGCCGTTATGACAGCCACCGTGCGCACCTCCACTAGCGCAAATAAACCAAGTTTGTAATTGGCCTAGGGGGCAAGGGCGTGTTACCGAGAAGTTGGTTGGTTGAAGTTTGAGCCAATACGTCACATGGATCACGTGGTGCTGCCATTTCCAAAGCTAAAGTACGCCTCGAAACGGGTTACTGTGGTGAACGCGATAGGGAAGCAATCAAGGCCATAGTATTAGGTTTCGTTCAATTCGAGGCATAATAGTGGCGCGTTTGGATATATTTCTGTTTAAATAGAGTATTCGAAGTTTTTGTGGCATTTATGACATAAAACTTTGACACATTAGTGTATTGCAAACATTACAGAACACGCACGTTGGGAAGAGCAAGGCAATTGAAGCGTATTTCTTTAAAAGTTGCGAGCAAGATCCAAAATGAGCTTTCTCGCGTAGGGTTGGCTCCTTCAAATAAAAAATTCTGAGCTTTTCAGAGGGATTTCGAGACAACTGGTATCTTGGATGAGACCATGTATGTCGGATACAACAATAAGTGAAAAGCACAAGAAGGTGGGATGCTCCCTTTGTATGACTTGATGCTTGGTCTTCCGCCAATGGAATCAGCGACAGCCTCAACTCGATGACTTCGCTGCCGAAACATAAGCGCAGGCCTCAATGATGAACTTCTGGCACCTCGAGATTTCATGTCGTCCGCTCTGATGACTCCGCTGCTCGCCTCGTGCAGACCTCGTAGTCTGCCTCGCAGGCCTCATTGATGAACTTCTGGCACCTCGAGATTTCATGTCGTCCGCTCTGATGACTCCGCTGCTCGCCTCGTGCAGACCTCGTAGTCTGCCTCGCAGGCCCCATTGATGAACTTCT